CTTTTGCCAAGGTTAATGAGCTGTGCTTGGTAAGTTGAAAGGCCCAGCTGTAAAGATGCTGCAGTATCCATCCATGCCAGCTGTGATACTGAATTTGGGGTTTTGAGTCTGTTGGCCTGAGCTTAGTTATCTGCTTCCTGCCGTGTTGAGAGTGAGCTTGGATGCTAACATTGCACACCCACTGTGCACAGGGATCCCCTTGAAAACCTGAAAAAACCCACTGGCCTGAAACCCCCCACTCCAAGGGGCCCAGTTCCTTGCCTTGTGCTCCTCTGTCCCCATGCGTGGCTGAAACAAGGAGTGGCCCGAAACCTCCCAAGACTGCCTGTCAGCAGGGTCAGGGAGACCCAAGGCTGCTCTGGCACTGTTGGCTTCAGGCCATGTCCCAACAGAGACAGCACTGCAAGCCCATCTGCAGGAGCCATTTCAGCCCTGCCTAGGCCTGTTTTTTCCCTTGACATCAAAATAGCTCAGTGGTGAGCCTTGGCACCCTTACACATGTGCCCAGCTGGGTTTTCTTGATGCTCTTGCCCTTTTGGGATGTCCCCAAACCCTATGGCGTTCTAGGGGAGGCACATTCAGTGCAGGAGACTTCATAGAGCCAAGGGCAGCCTGTGGGGATGGGGGTTGTTGGCTCTCTAGTTCCTGGGAGTTGGGAGCAGTTGGTGGCGGAACTTGTGCAACGTCTGTAAAACTGACGTGGGGAGGCATAGAGCATCTTCACCCAACGCGTGGAGCGTTTCCTTGAAAACCTGCCTGTGTGGCTGAGGAGCATGAGGAGTTGTCCTCCTCTGTGGGGGCTTGTGGAGGAGCCTGGGTGGCTTCAGGCAGGATTAGGAAAGATGTGCTTTTCTGGTTTGTTTTTTTTTTGAGTGCGTATATAACTCACTTAGAGGCCATGCACTTCTGAAGAGCTTCCACATTTCTCATCTCTGTCATCCCACACAGTATACAAATACAACCTCAACGATGTGGGCTTTTTTGTTGGCGTGACTTTCCCAGGGCTACCCAAGAGCTGAATCCCAGCTCTCTCGAGGTACGATTTAGCAGCTGAGGGTGCAGGCATGTGCTTGGCAGTGGCAGGGTGGCTGCTGCTGTCAGGCTGCATTGCCACCTGCTGGGGGCACACAGCCCCTTTCTGAGGCCACCTCCACCCATGCTTCAGCAAGGGGTATCCTCAAGCCAGCTCCCCTGCCAGGAGGAAGCCTAGCTGGGCTCCACCATGTTTCCTCAGGTGCTTATTTTGGGCAGATCTGCTGCCTCCCACTCTGTTGGATTTTGTCTTTGGACACTTCATAACATTGCAAGTTGTAACTCTTGGTTTCGATTTCCTGGTCTGGGTACTGGCCTTCAGTTCATGTTTCTTTCCTGGGTGCAGCTAAAGGGATGTGGGGGACACGTTGGCCAAAGGACTCAGCCTTTCTGGGCAGGAAGATGTGAGGAACCTGTGTTGTTCTTCCCAATGTAAAAAAAAAAAAAAAACACAAAACAAAAAAAAACCCTCTTGCAACAAATCAACTGTATGTGCTGGAACCTTGCTGGCCTGGAGCAGGACTTGTGGTCTCACTGGGACCAGCCACATTCGCTTGGGTGTTATGGTCAGAAAACCCTACTCAAATTTGGCCAAGGTATTACACTGTGGTGGAAAACCACGAACAAAATAAAAGATAGGAAGGGGGAAAGGCGAGAGAGTGGTGCAGAGGGATGGAAGTCTGATGAGATACTGGAGAGAAGCGAGGTCTGGCTGGAAAACTTGTTTAAATGAAGCCCTTCGCCAGCAGCTTTGTGCCCTGCATGGCTGCTTCTCCCACAGCTGCTTTTGTGGTATCGCCCGTGGGACACGCAACCTTAATTCTCCACCTGGCCCAGCTCCGTGCCTGTCAGATGGGAACAGCGTCCCTGTTGGGGGCAGGAGGCCGAGCTGGGGTTGCGGAGGCTGAGTTGCTCTTCTCTTGTGCTTTTTCCCTATCAGCTCAAGGAGGGCATCTGCCACGCCGCAGCCAGCAGTCTACTCTGAAGTGATTTCAAAGTGAAACCAGTGTGCATTGAACAACTGCAGCAGTAGTTCGTAAATTGATTTATCAGACGAGCTGTGTGTCTGACTGCTAATGCTGTAGGGGCTGAGGACTGCTCCTGGGGGGGATTTGTTTGGCAACATAGTATTAACCACAGATTTAGCATCAGTGCTGATCGCAGTTTGTGGGCATTTGAAAATTTAATATGTAGGAATGGGAAATGAAATAAGTTAGGCAGAGGCAGCAATAGCATATCTGTCCCCTTGCACTGTCCTTATGTCACCTCTTTCATAGTGGAGGCTGCCGTCAGCTCTTGAGAGCTGAAACCACAGCAGGCTCTTGGAGGAGATGCACACCTACAGATGATGTTTGGTTAACAGTGTTTGGGACACTTTTCATCTTAGTGATCACACTGGTATACACAGGAGGGGAACACAAACTGAGCCAGATGGCAATGCATTCAAAATGTGGTTTTTTTACTTATTTCTTGGGAGTATAAGGACTTGATTTTTTTTAAGAACGGAACACCGCCATGGACAAACATAACCATCACCAAGAACTAAGTGTTAAATGTCTACACTTCTGATAAAGTCCTTCTCAGGTAGCTTGTTGAAGCAAGAGCAGTTGTGTGTTTTCAGGCTTAGTCTTGCTCCCGCTCCCTCTGCTTGGCATGAAGATGGGTGCAAGTGAGCAGCACCACACCTCTGTATGAGAAAGGAAGGGCAACCAGAGAAACTCTGCACTATGCTTCTTTCTCATCCTGATTGCTGGACCCCCTCCCTGAAGAGCTTTACCACAAACCTTAATAGAAATGGAAATTGTAGAAAACTAGGCTGTATAGGACCTCAAGCAACCTAATTTATGCTTGCGCTGGAGGGCAGGACCACCTTTACCCATACCATTCCTGGTCTTAAAGCCTCTGGTGCTGGACAGTCACAGCCTCCCTGAGGCAGCCTGTTCCTCCTTCCACTGGGCAGGAGGGTGCTTTTTTTGGAGGATCTACATCCTCTTTCTGGTGGCCAGCACTGCACACAGGCGTATTTTGGTGCAATTAAGACTAAACTGCAGGACTGTGGTCTCAATGGAAGCCACAGCAGGGAGGATGCAGCCTTGGATGGAGACAGCACTGCAAAATGATGTCCTGGGAGAAAAGCACAGCCTGCGAGGGAAAGCACAGGACTGGCCTTGATGGATTGGAGACAGGGAAAAACACGAAATACTCTTAACACTCAGGGAGTGTGGGAGGCTGATGAGCCTCTGGCATGGCTGTTGTGGCATATCTTGATCTCTTCAGACATGAATCCTGGTCACAAAGCAGGGGGTAAAAATAACCCAGAACTTGTTTGTTTCAATATTTTTATTAAATAGTGCTCCACTCAGCAGTTGTACACCAGGCCCTGATGATCCCCTGATCAGTGTACGAACCCTGGGATGTGATGCTGCCATGACACCAGACCGCATGAACCATCTCCTTGATGGAAGCAGCGCCCAGGAGAAACCCGGGCTCAGAGCAGTGTCCCTACACTGCCGTCACACCAGCCAAGCTGGGAGGTAACTTACAGCAGGCCTCCTGTACTACAGGGTCCCACCCCCAAGCTGTTTGAATAGCCAAATCCTGCTCTCAAAGCTGTGCTTCCTCCTTTCCAGTCACCTCCCTGTGTTGTTTAGGTGCCGTGAATGATAGGGGATGACCACTGCTGAGTCTGCATGAACTTGAGGCTTCTGGCAGGGATGCCCAGCCCAAAGCAGACGAGCTTCTCTGTGCTTCAGGCTGTCTTTTGATGAACTTCCTGAAACATGTGATGGCAGCAGGAGGCTGGACTTTGAGGAAATGGGCAGCCTTCCAGGAATGGCTTCTACTCGTTGCTGGAGCAGCCCATCCAGGAGGTTCTTGAGGGTCTGCCTATGCCACTGTGGCTAGGCTGCCTTGTGTTCAGGCACGTGAGCTAGCTGTGTTAGCGTGCCAGGTTTGGGTCTCCAGCTTCACTATCGCTGGTGCAGGCGCGCGCTGGCTTGGAGGCTGCCCACGCTGCCCTGTAGCTGCTCGCCTGCTCTTAGGTGGCCTGAGGCACTTAGCAACTGGGCCCTTAGAAGAACAAAACCCATGTCCACTCTTGTGCAGGCTGAGGAGCTGCCCTCAAACAGCACAAAGCAGTACAGCTGCATCAGTAACTTCCAGCGTGCTCGGTGTTTAGCTCGTGCTCAGTGCTAAGAAAGTGGTTTATAGGGTCAGGTCCCTAATTGTTGCAAATTAGTGTAGCATCAGCTAAGGATGGAAAAGCACATCTACCCCTTGCAAGTATCTGGTCTGCTTTTTAACCGCTATTTAACCCAGGGCAGGTTTTTCCAGTTGGGTAGATGTGTGGTTGCATATCGAACTACAACAAGCAGTAACAAGGCAAACAAGTGACTCAAATTATCCAGGTTCAGGAAAGCTTATAAAATAAAGCATGTAAACAACATCTATACAGGTAATAGGTTAAACACTGGCAACTCAGTGGAATACATTTCTTTTCCCATGTTGCTGCTGGTAGGCCTGGCACCACCTAACACCTACAATATTCATACACAATTTTAAATAAAGACTGAAAAATAAACTTTTAAAACTAAACAGAAGAGACCACACCAGCAAGCATGTTTAGCTCACTTTTAGATTGGAGTTTTCCATTAGATGATCTATGTACTTTTGCAAGGTTTAGTATAGGATGGCAAATAAGCACAAAAGCTAGCGGATTATTTGTCCATCACTGAAAAAAAAATGCACAAGAGCGCTATACATAGCCTTTGCCTTTAAAGCAAACAGGTGGAAATTCAGGACAAAGCTTTGGCATGTCAGTTCCAGCTGTGCCACTTGCAATCTGACATTAAAAAAAAAAATCTATAAACACTCCACAGCCCATCACAATTGTGTCATGTAGAGCAGCCCAACTACTGAACTGCCTACTCCCTGGGTGCTCAGAAAGAAAACACTTAAAAGCAACTTGCAGGGCAATAGTCTCAGTTTTTCATCTTTTGTTTTCCAAAGGCAACTAAATTCCTGCACCTATTTGTCAGCACAAAAAAAAATGAAAAAAATTAAATGGCCAAAGTTACATTCAGTAGAAAACTTTCTCCCAGGAAACGGGATACAGAAAATAGCAAAACTCTATAGCCAACAAAATACTGTACATTTTGTCCCTGCTCCCACCTGCAGCCCTGCATTTTTAAGAGACACCAGCAAAATCTGCATTCTGTCTTTTAAACTGAAACAATGCAATGAGATGACTAGAAATATTAGAGAACTCAGCATGCCCTCAGGAGGATGGATTTATGTTCAGTTAGGTGAACAACGATGAGTTTGGAAGAAGGAGAAAGCAGCTTCAAACTGCTTTTCCAAGTATGGAAGGATCCCAGGCAGGAAACTGCCAAGCTCAGATTTAGAGTTCAAATGCGGGGAACTTGGCTTTGGTTGGCACCAGCAGGTCAGCAAGAAAGTAAATTGTTCCAGCCATTCCTGAGGGTAAGAAAACACAATGTGCTTCAGAGAGATTACCTTTGGGCACCCATTTTATGAATTATCCAGGGGGTGAATGAGTCATGAAGACAGAAGAAATGAAAACATTTTCAGAAGGACCTAAATCATTTCCAAGGTCTGACCCCAGGTTTCCCAAGCAACTTAGGTACTTCAGTGGGTAAAGCATTTTGAAGTTAATCAAATGTTGAAAAGCACCTGGGAAAACGTGATGGGTCTTCCCCCCTCCAGCTCCTTCCCTTCTGCTTTACCTGTCCACAGGTTTAATAATCTGAGTATCTTTGCAAAGCTCCGGACCCTGCCTCAGGTCCTCACTGATGTAGCTGCCCTTGTTCCTTGGCCTGCAGCAAAGCTAGGGAGATTTACGGTAGCTGAGGAACCGTCTCTTTCAGCAATACCTGCTGATGGCAGATTTTGGGGGAGCCATTAGTAGGAGCTACAAAGCACCACTGGAGCCAAAAAGGCCTACAAAAGCAGCCCCATTTGTTCCTCACTCACCTTTGAAATGAAATTGGAAAGCCCATGAAGGACTTTAATCCTTAAAAATGCACAGAAAAGAGACTGTCTGAGAAGCCAGGCTACAAATTACCATAAGGTAGACTTTGGCCTGTACCCATTAAAGAATTCCCCTTAAGACCTGTGTGCAGAATCTGCATGGGAGGCCCAAGAGGACAGGATGCTCCAGCTAAGACATTAGCCTGTGCTACAAGAAGGCTGTTTCTGGGAAAGGGTAAAAACTGTGAATACAATTTCCTCCCCATCTTCTACACTGAGTTTTGCAAAGACTTCAGTGGAGTGTGTATTCAGTTTTCCTTGGTGCTGGACTGGCTCAGATCCAGGAGCAAAACACAAGCATAGAGATGGAGCTTACCTTCAAAGAGAGAGAATGGTGTGTCTGGAGTCCGGCACCCATGTTGACCGTAACTTAAACACCACTCTGCAAACTGAGAAAAGAGGAACAAAAAGTGCTGAAATTTTGTTAAAGACTATCTTAAAAAAAATACCACCGTCATCCTCACATTATCCCTTGCAGACCAAGGCTTCTGCAGGATATTCCTTCTGTATAGGCTGTCAGACAGTGACTGTGCTGCTGAAGGGCTATTCTGGTGGAGCTGGTCAGATCTAGCTGCATCTCTGCCACACTACAAATTAGGTTTCAAAGGCAAAGGTAGTGACGTAGAAGGCAGAAGCGAATAATCCCCTCTCCCTTCCTTATGCAGGCTCTCACCTTGCAGGCCCTGTACAGGTATTTCATGTTCTGAGTGAGGTTGTACAGTGCTAGGAAGCCGTAAGCATTGCCAGCTGTCCCGTGGCACAGCCCATAGCCTTTCTTCAGTAACCCGTGCTGCCAGATCACTTCTGCACACTGCAGGGCATCATTTAGGTACTGCTGTTCCCCAAAGACCTGCAGAGACAAGAAATATTCCCTCTTGCTGAGGCAATTTCCTTCACACAAAGAGCATCCCTGTGTGAGTGGTGGGGAGGCTTGGATTAATTAGTTTCTCTCCTACTGAAGTCTTAATGCTGTGACTTTGCTGTCTACTTTAAAGGAGGATGTTTTGACATGATGAATGGGGCTGTATGACTATTACTTCACACACAACTAGTTGTCACCATCAGTTACCTGCAGCAGGACACCCCACACAGCTGATGGGTATTTTCAGACATAATTTTTTAAAAGGCTAATTTCCGTTTCAGTCAGTGGTCCCTGTGGGGTGATTTCTTTGTAACAAGCCATCCTACTTTCAGGCGGGGGAGGGTCTCAACAGAGTCTTCTCCATGATGAAGTTCCACATTTAGGGGTCCCCAGGGGGTCTTTGCAAGATTTCTGGTACCTTGTACGCCTGGACAAGCATGTAGATAACACCTGGTGCCCCATGGCACCAGTGGACGAGTAGGTCTCTGGTGTCATTGATGCACGGAGGGTAATTGCCAGATGGGAACTTGAGCTGGCAGACGTAGTCCACGCTGGGTTTGACTGTGTTGTGCAGTTTTACTTGGCTCACTCCAAGGCCAGGCTGAGAGAGAAAGCATTAAATCAGGAGAATTACCATTCTGTCTCTCCCTAAGAGGCCCAAGATCTGCCTGAAAGGCAGAAACAAAGGCACCTATGGTCACGTTCCCTCTTGCTCCTCGTAAATCCAGTCATTTCTTTGGTCCAGGCTTTCACACATCACAAATACCCACTTGGCCCCAGGCTGCTCTGCCCTTTGGTGGGGACATACTTCCAGTCATACCCTTGCATCCCCAGAAACAAAGGCTGCCCCTCACGTGTCACCTGGCCCTCTAAGCAAAAGTGCTTGCTGCTGCTTTTCCTGAAGATGACTAAGAATAGTTTCAGGTACCCAGAGCTGGAGTAAGGAGATAACCCGTATAAAACCAGTGTTAAGGATGAATACTAGGAATGATTCCTAGCACCTAGAGCATCTCAGCTCTGAGCTGCTGGGCCAGTCCAGCTGGCAGGCTGTGATGCTGCATTTTCACAGACGTTTCTGGGTAATTGCAAGGGGGCGACTTCACCGCTGACCTCAGACAGAAGCAAGGGAGTGGCTTTAGTGTCCTCTTCCAATGACACTGCCCCACATGAAATCTGTGCAGTTCTGACTTCCCATGGCAGACTGCAATGAGCGCTCTCATCTAAGGATCGCATTGTTCCCAGGTTGGTAAGTTGAAAATTAAAAATCAATACTTGTGCTGTAAAACCATTAGAGATAAAAGTCCAATGTTCTCCTCTCCATATTTTCCTTGTTTGCTTCCCCCAAGGCCCTTTGTGCATCATGCTTGGCTGATCCAGGCTCCTTGTACTTCATACAGCAGAGAGGCATGAAGCCCATGCAGTATTTGATGGGAGACTTACACTTAAAATTCTTTAAAACAGCCTGGGAACAAGCTCAGGGACTCGGTGCAAACTGGGGCTCACAGCACACTGCTGTCTCCCCCGCTCCCAACTAGCTGTTCTGTACTCCTGGACAGTAATTGCTTTGCATCCTCCTCTTGCCAAATCTCCTTCTGCTTAAAAAACACCAACCACCCCTTCCTCTCTGAGTTACCTAAGAGGGTTATATTCACAGGAATTCCTCTTATCCTGTATATGGGCTTGAACTTTGAGGCTGCTGAAGGAAAGCTCAAATACTTGAAACCTGCTGGCTTTTTTTCCACCTGCTGTGAGAGTTGGGTCTAAGGAAAGATATCACCTATTTCTATGAACATTGCTGTGTTAAAATAATTTGTGTTGCTCAGTAGGTGCCCTTAATGCTTTGAAAATGCAATGTTATTTATTGCTGTTATTTTCCTAAGAGCTTAAGCACTGTAAACTTATGCACAAAGTGACCCACATAGGGGAATTATCACCCTCATTTCAGAGCCGGAGAAGCGAAGATTCCCAGAGCTCCAGTGAGTTGTGCAAAATCGTGAGAAAGACAGCATCAAAGCAAAGGGGCACTGCAGCTCCCAACCTCTTGTCTTGCCTGCCTACTTCAGGCACTACAGAATTCAGCTGCTTTATCAAAGTAAAAAGTCCCCCGTCTTTAACATTTAGATATAGGCCCCGATTTGGAAACAAAGGCATTTCCCACTTTGCTACTACAAACCAATCTCTTTCACCATGCTTTTCTTACAGAGATTCTCATTCTGTAACGGTCTGAGATTGCTCCAAGTAACCACCTCAAAAATGCAGGAAACCCACAGATACCAACCAATGGGAATACTTTATAAGCAATTAACACAAGAGGGGGAAGCTCAGATCCAGCTGACCTACAGGGCTTCGTTATGTGAAACTGCTGGTATAATGCCGGCCACATTTCCCTACTGATTGCCATGGAGGTGGGAAATTCAATCTCACAGATTTAGAGAAAACCTTTAGAAGTAGGGATATGTGATCAAACCCAGGAGTAAATCCATCAGACAAGGAATCTTGCCCAGGTTGATATCACCAAGAGCCACTTCAAATGCTCCTCCTTGTTCAAAGAAACGTGAAACAGCTGCTAAGGGCCCATCCCCTCCAGAGTCTCTTACCTGCATGAGATAGTAGTAAATCCCAGCCAAACCATGGGCTGCCCCTACGTAGTACTCCTGGTACCACTCATACATCAGTGGGCTCTTTGCTGTGAAGTTCCTCCTTTTGGCCAAGCTCTCTCCTGAGGCTACAACAGCTTCACAGACCTGTGGATGGGAACAGACGCAGGTAAGGGAAATGCTGGTGTCTTGGACACAGCACAGAACAAGAGAGTTGTTTTTCTGCCCAAGCAGAGAGAAGAGTGTGGGGGAGGGAGTGAAATGTGTGCCATTTCAGTACTGCCTATGGATTTATAGGGTGGGTCTGGGTGTGTGTGTGTGTAGTGCTTTGTCCCTTTGGAAGAAGAGCAGCATGGATACCATGATGTGGTTTCTTCTTTGTTGCTAGAGTTCTCTCTATCTAGCATTGATTTTTACCTGCCCCAAGATGAGCTGCATGGGAAGAGACAGCTAACAAACCAACAGAAGCCGCAGTACCTGCTGAATGTGACTTTGAGGGATCTTTTCCTCTCCGAAGTGCTTGTTCACAAATATCAGTGCATAGAGATAGCCCATGCGCCCATACAGCAGTTCATCTGGCACTCGTGGGTCAAGCTTGTGTAGATGGAGCAAACTACAAAGAAAAATTAACATGGGGGAGATTAGAGGACGGTCAAAGCCATGTAACCAAGCAGTGAGACTGGAGCTCAAACACATGGTTTGTTCCTTCATGCTGCCTGTGCCCTGGGAGATGTCAGACCAGTCTCTGGGTCTCAGCCTTCCAGCTATGCAAGGTGCAGAATCCCTCTTTCCCCTATGCTTTTTGTTTGGTTTATTGCTTTAGTCTGTTCAGCTCTTTACAATGCAGTTGTACTATGTGCTTGTTTTTTAGAGCACCAGCTCTGGGAAAGCTACAGGTGGAGAAACCTGGGCTATAGGAAATGGTCAGCATAAAGTTGCAGACTGCTCTGGAAAGGCTGCCCCAATTCAGCAAGGAAAGCCTGCCCACCATTACCTCCCTGTCATGCTGTTGGCAGGGCAGATCCTCTGCCAAAAATGATAATTTTCAAAGTAAACTGGTATCTGTTTAATTTGACTGCTCAAGGAATAGTAGAAAATCAAACTAGTGCTGATGGTATGTGGAAAAATCTTACCCCTTATGCTCAGAAGTCCTGATAGAAAAGCCCCTTTCTCTCCATGCCTGCAAGTGGCCAGGGCTACACTGTCAGTGGAGAAAGACAAGTCTCCATGAGCTAAAAATCTAGGTGAGGAGAAGCAGCTGGAAATGTTGTTTAACATCAAGGCTCTGTGGTACATGTAAGTAGTCTTCTCTAGGGATTGTTGAGCAGTAGTGAGAACAGCTCAGCAGAGTGTGAGTGCTGCAGCCTGTCTGTGGTGCAGCCCCACATTGAGGACTGCCTGGCTGGCACCAGGCTTTAGCCCACAAGTGCAGAGCGAGAGGTCTGATGGAGTCAGATATTTTCTTTGCCATTTTTCTATTATCATGTTGCAAAGCTAGTGATATTCCTGTAGTGCTAACAGAGACTGACAGCTCTTCACACTGGTGGTTTGTAGCCCAATTCACTCTCGATGCAATTTTTCCTTTGTTTTGCCTCTCATCACACTTCCAACAAGGCTGGATGTCCTTCCCTGTCAGAGCAGCAGGCAGGGATGTGACTCGTTTTGGCTTTATTTTTCTGTTCACCCCTGAGACAGCAATCTGAAAAATGCCATCACTTTTAAAATACCAGCATAAGTGGCTTCACGGCTGTTCCCTCAGCTGCTTCCTGCTGTGGCTGCAACAGGGAGGGGGCTAAGAAACCAGCCAGGAGAGCTGTGTGTGTGCAGGGCTTCCCTGTCACAGCAGCATGAGGAGCAGAAAAGGTGCCTTGGCAGCCTTTGCTGCTGGGCAGAACAATGTGTTGCAAAGGAAAGAAGCAACCAAATGTCCAGAGCACCCTCAGAGCAGAGAGAGGATGCTGGGCTGTGACTCCCCACGGCAGAAACTTTCCGTTGGCAGTAGACTCAAAGTGAGCAGGGATATTGAAGGAGAAAGGAGAGAGCAGTGTCTCAAGGTGGACTGGCCCTGTCTCCTCATGTACCACTTGAGATGTGCATTGCTCCGTGGGGGAGATTTCTTGCAGATTAAACCCGAGAGACAGACTTTTTTTTTTCAGCTGCATGGGCTGAAAGGAAAGCCCTGCTGCCTCCTCATGTCCCTTGTCCCCAGGTCCAAGGAAGGCAGATGAAGAGGAGGGTTTCCAAAGAGGAAAGCAGTGTTTCGACAGACAGACTCTGCCCAGCAGCAGGCTGGCCAGAAGAGATGCTGGCTGGTGATGTCCTTCAGCTCTGAGATGTCAGGTGCAACAGAAGGAATGGATGGGTGGATATACACTAATACCCACAGTAGGGGTTTTCTGAGGTCTGGATGTGAAATCTTTTCGTGGGGAAATCTGAAGCAGCTGGAGCTACTATTCTTGCTCCTTACGCTTCTACCTCTAGCTGCTTTCCCAGTCAGGATAATCAGGGGAGGAAGCATGCCAGCAGTTTCTGTTGTTTTTTGAAATGCAGGGCAGGGCTGCATGGCATGCATGCAGCCAGAGATGCCTGGGATGCTTCTGGACTGATTGCATGCAGAATGCATTTCTCAGGTGCGAGGGGGTAAATCGAAGTCCCTGAAAGGAAGAGCCACTCCTGCTCACATATCAGCCTATTACCTCAACTGTCAAAAATCAGTAGTTTCTGGACAGAGGGAAAGTGAGGTAGCTGTAGAGCAAGATGGGATTTTTGTATGCCACTGGCTCTAAAAGCAAACCTTTGACCTTCTGAATTGGTGAGAGATGGCAGGGAAAAGAGGACTCCTGGAACACGGCTCAGATTTTCACAGGCTCTTGGAAAATGGGCTGCCCTGAAATGTTAGTCTCTCCAGAGCACAAAAGCACATTTGTCGGTCATGAACTCATTTGGGCAAGAGCAAGGTGCTAAGAAAAAGCAGGGTTCTGTCTCTTCCACTGCAGGTAAAACCTGGCTGATGGATTCTCTCCTTGGGCTCTGTAAAGATGAGGTGCTTTAAAAGACAGAGAACAAAATGGGGAGAGGCCATCCTTGTCCACAGCTGTAACGGAAGTGCGCTTTCTATGCACTTGCACTGCACAACTGAGCAACTGTTCTGTAACTAAACAGCATACTCAAAACGCACTTAAGAGTTTTGATTAAGCGAGCTATTTCTTAAAGAAATACTCCCCTTTTAAAGGTAGCATGGTCAGGCTACCTGTGCTGGGAATTGGTGGCAGAGTAAGGACAGTACAACTGTTCATTCGAGAGAGCCACATTTTTCTTTTTTCCTCCTCTCAGATGTATGAAGAAACCAATTTCCAAGACTCTGCCTTTATTATGCCATTAGATGGCAGTGCACAATTAATCATGAGTTTCCATTCTGCCACAAAACTGTAGGCAGAACAGGAGGGATACGGGGAGGGGAGACGTACAGCAAAAAAACATGAATTAGGGATTTTTCACAACTTGGGGTTTATGCATTGACCAAACTGTCCAGTACTGTTTGACAGATTAGTTCCCTTTTTGTTAGCAAATATATTAATCATAGTGAGATTTACTACTTTGACACAGTATTAAGCAAAACCTAAACCAGAGATTATTTCAAGAATAAAGAGGAGAGTTCTGTCCTCTGACAGACTGACCATATCCACATAAACCAGAAGCTATTCTTAGTTAAGGGAGTGGGAACTTGGGTGTCCAAACCATACAGGCACCTGATTCCCACCCATGGCTTTTTTTAATTGATATTACACATCACTTGCTCATGGCTGTTTAAGGGCACTCAGTGTTGTTCTGAAGTGTCAGGGGTTTTATCTTGGTTTTGTGCTGACCACACGTAAATGGAAACAAAGCTTACAGGGCTGTTTCTCACCTTCTCAAAACTGATCTCCCTTAAGCAAGAAAAGCTTGCAACTGCATCTCCTTAACTTTTTTCCTTCCTCTGCCACATGCTGATCTGACTGTAGGACTGCTTGTTTGTCCTTTTTTTGTCTTAAGTACCCAACAGAAATACATTTGAAAACAGTTGAGGAAAGGCAGGAAATAGAAATAAATGAATCATAACCAGCTGCATTCAGCTGTTGAAAGGGATGCTGTCAATCTTAGGTTTAAGTCAAAGTCAACTAACAATTAGCAAGTGGAAGCGAGTGACAAAATTAATCTAATAATCCTGCCACATTTCTCCTTTTCATCAAAATGGCTGTAAAGCTAAATTTAAGGGTTCTGAAAAAATACCAAACCTCACCTTCTGGGTTTTTTTAATTTTGGCATTTTTTCTTCTTGTGTTTATTGGAATTATTTTTAAGATGGCAATACCAGCTGAACAATATCCTTGTTCCCCAGCCTGCAGGCTGCCAGGCAAGCGTGTTTGTCCTAAAGTTAGCTTTTTCCCCAGGGCAAAACAAGTTTGCGCTGCCTTGCTGAGTTACTGGATTATCTCTCACATAAGACTGCAACAAAATGTATTCAGGCTTGGCAGAGAGTGCCTGGTACAAGCCCGGACCAGCTCTATGAGCAAGAAGAACATTAGATCAAAGACATAACCAAGCGTTTTACCGAGTGATGCAGTCTTCTGATTGCTTCTCATTCTGCAGTTTGCGGTAGACGACAGCAGCCACTGCCAGGGGCCCGGCATCTCCACACAAGAAAGTGATGGATCGTCTTGTGAGACAGCTCAGGCTCTTTTTCACGTACTCGTGGGCCACCTGAAGGTAGGCTGGGTCTCCATACACATCATACAGGTGCAAATACAGCAAAGCAATGCCTGCAAAAGGAACATAAAGGTTGCACCCACCAGAAAAGTTTACCCTTCCTGCTATGCACCCTGGCTGTTTTAACTAACATAAAAGCCTGGCCCTCAGCCTCATCTAGGGCATAAGCCTTCTAGACAGGCTTCTCAGGCACATCTGGAGGCATAAACCATAGCTGCAGCATCCACAGCTTCTTTTGCTGCTTTGTGACCTCCTTGCACCTGATGCTGCTCAAGCAGGTCAAGACAAACAGCAGCATCTGACCCAGGAGGTCCCGGACAACAGCAGAGCTTCTGATACACAGGTTACATACAATTTTAGTAGCAAGGAGCAAAAGATGAGACCTAGACAAACCCACATAAATCTATCAACTGTACCTGGGACTGTTGCTAAACAGTGGAGGGAAAAAAAAAAATCTTTGGGCAAGATAGTACTTGTGGCAGAGCAGTGCTGAGTTGTTACCTTATCTCAATTATTTTTTCCCATGCCAGGAAGTAAAGGGCTGGGTCACTTAGCCTGGACTGGATTTTTAAAAAAGTGACATGTCATCAGCACCCTTAAGACATCCTACTTGGCTCTTTCTTTTTCTTTTTTTTTTTCCTTTTCCTTCCTTCCCACTGGAAAGCACCAGCAAGGTTGTTAACAGCTCCCTGGACATCATCTCCTGCTGCTGAGCAGGTCCCAGGCCCTACACCAAGGACTGGTGCATCCTAGAAAAGAAAGGGCCTGCCCAACTCTCCTCTGCAGCACATCATTCATGAGATCAACCCTTGTCTGGAACATAAACAGCTACCTGGAATGCTGGAAAAGGCTGCATGGTCCTCCCTGGAGGTTTTCAATGGGCTAGCCAGCTACAGAAACGAAACAACTCCGCTACTGAGAAGTCACATCAATTGCTGTCCTTTGCCTCTGTCTGCCCTGTCTTCATCCAGCTCTTGAAGCCTTTAGTAGGTAACTGAGGAGTCCTCAGTAAGTCTGTGTCTGAAAGGTCTGCTACATTTGAACCATCCTTCTGATCTGGAAGGCATCCTCAAACATGCACTGAAAAAAAAACTACTGGCCTACATCACTTTGAGAAAAGCTTATTTATCCCCTTACCAGTACCACTTCTAAGACGACTCAGGTCCTATGTTTAAGCTTAAATTAACAGAGCAGATTTTGATGTGGTAAAGTGAGGGGGGGCAAGCATGCTGCAAAATTACTTTCCATGGTACTGAGGACCATTTTAAATTTAGATCGTTTTCTCATTTTGCATGGGTAATCTCCAAAGCTTCGTGCTACAGACAATTCAATTCCACATGTATATCAAGGGCAAATTTCAATTTCCTGAAGTTCAGTGTATTTCCAGAGAGAGCTCAGATGTATGGTGCCATCACTCAAGCCTATAAGGATGTGGATATGAAGCCTTTCTTTAAAGGGAAACGCTCCTCTTCCAGCTAGCAAATGTCAAGTGACTCTCCTTGATTTATTTAGCACCTAGCACAGCTTTTAGACTTTAATAGGCTTGATAGCTGTCTGAGCACGATTTGCACTCTTGACTTACCTGCTTTAATATACAACTTTTTGCTTTGTAAGTAGCTTCTATTCCCACTGCCATCGTACCACCCTAGTTATGTACATAGCTACTATACTAAGACTACTGCTAGGATTGAATTCTTAGAAAGTAAATGTCTCAGCATTGTTTTCCTCTGACTTCTTTGCCTCTCCTCTTTTAAAACATTTCTTGCCCCCTTTCCTCCCAGGCCCAAGCATCTTTGGACAAGACTCCAAAAAAACACTGACCTATACTAAACCGTGGATGGGATGAGTTGCTTCCCCAAATCATTCATTTTTTCCTTAAAACCCAAAGGTCTTACAAACTGAATTTAAACCCAATTTTCTCAGCTTATTCCTCAAGGACTTCATACTCCTATGCTGATTAGAAGGGTACAACGCAGTGCTGCCTTCAGCCTGCTGCTTGCTCGCTCTGTTGCTATCTGTGACCCCAAAAGTAGGGAAGGCCAGAAGAGGAGGGCAGGCCCATGCATAAAGAGGCAATGTTTACAGATGTATTTAGAGGGATACAAAATGCAGTCACCTGGGTGGGGAATATCCTATATTGACCTGTGTGCCAAGATGTAGGCAGCATGTTTCAGAGGCAGTTCAGTTTGGAGATAAGAGTCTCCACCTAATGAACTTGGCTCAGCTAGGCAGTGTTGCTCTGCAGAGGCTATTCCACAGCTCTGCCTCAATCCCTCTCCAATAATACCTTCCTCACCCCATCTGACCAGGTAGGGTTTGCCAACTGACTGGGTGTTTGTTTGGCACGTTTTAAGTGCTATACAAACATGGCATCATCAGTCAAATGCGGCTAGGTAAGCAGTGGGTCTGCTCCATTTCTGTGTGCCCTGGAGGTCTGTGTTCAGTGTCCCAGTTGGAAATGTGACCTGTTTTTGTGACCTGAGGCTCCTGATTGTTTCCAGCAGAACTGCCATGCAGTGGCTGCCTGTGGCCTGCTACTGGCAAAGATGTACAGGCTTTGTTCTGTTTATTGGTTACTATTGGACCTTCTTCTCTCTAGTTTCTCCAGACTCCAAAGTTTTTTGCTCCTTGCAGTGTAAGACCTGCTGCATAGCCACACGCGATGGCAAATGCATCAGACATCACTTGACGGTGCAGTGAAGACTGCAGTGAACACATGTGCTATGGACAGCACATCCTTTAGCAGGGCTCTGATGACTGAAACTGCCATCTCTAGTATTCAGGAAGCCAACACACTGGAGAGTTAATGCCCGAGATGCTTGCTCACTGCAGGGAATCAGGAGGCAAAAATCAGTTCTGCATGCCTCTCACAAAGCCTGTTTATTTAACATCTTCAGTAGGACAGTAAACAACATCTCTGCCCTCTTGCCATCCTGTATGAGCAGTATTGCAGATGCAGAGGGGTGCTTTGCATTAGAGATTTCTTTTGAGTGAGGCAGAGGAGGAGACTTAAACCTACATAGTAGAAATGGAATTGTTTGCACCAGCTGCATCAGTTGGCTACTGATGATGGCCCTGACTTTAGCAACCATTGCTTTCAACAGAGCAGACATTGCTGGAGATACCAGAAAAGTTATTGCTCGAGAGCTAAAGCACCGCAGCAGGCTGAAAGAGTCTCTCATCCATATGACCGTTCTGTTGATCAAAGGGAAGTAAAGCTGTGCCTCACCTTCCCTGCAAGTTTAGACTTGTTCTTTATGTTGGATTGCACTACCATTGCAAACAGTTCTGCTGGTGGGAGAACAGCAGTAGTGAGACAAAGCTTCCCCCTCGTGCTGAATAGAGTGGATAAAAGTGAGAGGAAGCAGCGCTTGGTGTCAGCTCCGCTGCAGTCCCCTTGCTGACAGCACCAGCAGGGATGCCCATTAGACTGCTCTGAACATGCCTCCTTGTCCACCAGCTGGGCTGCAATGTGGTCCTTTCACAAAGGACAATAGGTTGCCAAAAGAGGAGATTTCTTGACCTAATTTGGACCAGTTCCAAACCTGCCATCTACAGTAATAAAGAGCTCAGAGATCTTGCATTGACCCAGGGAAGTCAGTCAGCCAGCACCCTCCAAGCAGGATGTCAAACACAGAGGGAAGAAGCGGAAATCTATCTCTGCACATAGTGATGAAGCCTGATGGTTTCTAGTGAGAAACCTAATGTCATTTTAATGAGTCAGGCACGGAGTAAAAGCTACAGAGGAGGTGGCATAGCTTTACTGCCCAGCTCAAAGGATAACAAGCATCTTTTCTGGTGCAGACGCGTGGGATGTTATCTTGCGCACATAAATGCATGCCAAAGCCATGCTGAATGGGACAGTGAGACATCTTTTCCGGGGGGCTGTATCATCCCATGTTCAGAACTGTCTGGGTAGCCACAGGTGCATTTTGCTACAGCTTGCAGCTTGCCTTCCTAGTGCATTGTGGGAAATGGGGAATTTCTCAGGATGCCTTAGCTTCTCCAGCCTTAAAACCTGGGTAACAAAGCTTCTTTTGTAAAACTTTTTACAAAAGAAGCTTTCCCCCCAAAAAAAAACCAAACAAAAAAACCAGCCCAGCTCAAACCAAAACTACCCACTACCCCATCACAGAATCCTACAACAGGTTAGGTCAAAAGGCATCTGTGGAGCTGATCTGATCCAACCCTCTGAAAGTAAGGCCAACTTCAAATTTACATCCTACTGCTCTGAGCCTTGTCCAGTCAAATACTGACTATCTCCAAGAACGGAGATTTCACAAAAACTACCTACCAAGCACTT